TTATAAAACTCCAAATTTCTACAAATATTTACGAATCCAAAGTAAAGTAATGAGCTGCTGCAAGAAGGGTAGGGTCCCATTTCCAAAACCTTGAATTATTGATGTCAAATAAATTTTTCGACGCATCTGAGGTTTTTTTTCTTTAACCCAAAAGTTTTGTCACCCATACCTAACCAAGTGCTAAAAAAAAAGGGTGTGAAACCTTTACTGGAGTTTCCACCACAACTACTGAGTATCTTATCTTCGTCTTTTTCACCTTTAGTTCAACAAAAACATTTCAACAGCTCTTAAATTAGGGGACATTTTCTTTTAAACAGACACAGAAAATTCAGTGTTTGATTACTGTAATTATAGATGGGTGTTATCCCTCAGCTGATACACAATATTAGGGCAAGAGATCCTAAGGGGGCTGTGAGAACTAATGATATTTCTACACTAGTATTGTGAGTATAGTGACCTCTTACTGAATTCAGAATTTATTGAAAACTACTTTGACTACATACCTTCCTCAATTGCTTAGGATAGCTAAGACTGATTGAAAGCCTAGCATGCCAAAGAGCACGCTTGGATTACTTGTCATTCTCAGATTTTTAAGACTTGAGTCAGAGGTAAAGCTTTCTGACTCTTTAATCCTTTTTACATTTTTTATTGAACAACTCGTGCAGAACATTTTTTTTTTTTTTTTACTTTTATGGAATTTTAAATTCTTTTTATCTATATTAGTTACAGGTATTATTGATAGATATTAATAATACTGATTGATATTACTAACATATTTTACTAATTTGTATACTTCCATTGCAAATCAAGCTTACTGTATAAACTTTTCCTGACTGTTTTCATATGTCTTCCTTGAAAATCCTTCCTTTCTTTGTGCCACTTGTTTGCTAAATAGCACTTTGACTTTTACATGCATTTAAGTAATTTTATATAAGCACAGCTAAATTGAACTGAATTTTCTAATCCATTTATGTACATGTGTAATGTCGTCTCTGCTCATAAATAATTAATGAATGTTCTAAGGAGAAAGGCTTGTTAAATGACACTCAGCAAATTTGTTGCCTGATGTAGAGGCTTTTTAGGCCGTTTTACTAACACTTTAAATACCTATAAACCCATGAGATTGACAGCGGAAGCTTTTCTAAACCACTGCTACAATCTGAACTCATTAAGACCCCAGCCAGCATCCCCCCCCCACCTCTGAAGCTGAGAAGGATATGATTATAGGCAAAAAAAGATCCTTCTGAGGCCTATTATGGGATAATAAATATATATTTACATAAAACTAAACATATACACATAAATAATTTATTGTTTTCTTATGCAACACCATAATAAAAAAAAAGGATATGAGAGATTATATATCATAGCTATTGTAGTATCAAATATTCAAAGGGTAAACATCAGGATTGTTTTAAAACTGGGAATCTCCACTCACAATTATTTCTACCCACTTTCCATTTGGCCAGCATTTTAGATAAACCATCCTGGCAATTAACCTTTATTATACAAAACGATATTTCGTTTTGACTCTGTGTATACAAAATGACAATAAAAGTTGTCTAATGTCTATTACATTAATAACACATTTATTGTTTGGTGTTTGGTAACAATTTATTTATTTTTTTTGCTGAATGAAAATAAAAATAATCTAAAAATGCATTCTTTTGTTTTTAACTACTATCCCTACTCTACAAACTGCAAATGTCTAATTATTTTTCTGTCAGTGAAGAGTACATCTAACCGGCCCAAATAATGATGGTGGGTTTTTTGGAGGCACTTGTTCTTGAGATATTAGTACATTGCATTTACAGATTTGGCCTATAAAATCTGCTTGTCAGGCTTCCTGACAACAGTCATTTAAATTAGCACTTAGAAGAAGAATCCCCCCCCCCCAAAACACAAACACAGACTTGTAAATCATTGCTGTGGCAGCCTTTTGTTTACCCAGCAGAAAAAAAAAACTGAAATGTTGACAGGATGACAGACAAGATATGATTGGTAAACAGTGAGAGTGCTGCGACTGGTTAACGGTTAGCCTCTTAAAATGCCAAATATGCCATGTGCTCCACCTGTCAGTACAGAGATAAAAAAAAAAAGCTTTTCCCTTAATATAATCAGTCAGACATCATTTGATTATCTATGGTTAAAAGAAAGCTGTATAACTGTTACTGATTAAAACTGACTTAGAAAATTCTATGCCGAGCAGTGATGCTTTAAAATATAGAATCTTTATTCTCAACATGACGCCCTGCTGAAAATACATACAGACACAAATTAAAAACACTTACTCACAAAAAAAATGTCCGTTTAAAGCATGCTTACAAATATAAAACACCATATAGAAAAAATCTCATAAAATATTAAAAAATATTGAACACACGTTTAGCACTTCAAAGATATATATTATGTTTAAAAATTTATTTATTTATGGCATCTTTACTAATTGATTAAAATGACGATTATGAGTTGGGAAACCATTTGAATGAGAAAAACGCTATATATTAGGAGCTTCTATTGATACAGCAGCCAATTTCCTGCCTGTCACTCTGAAGGACATACAGATGAGAGTGATGAGAAGACAGTCCTACAGCAGCGAAAACACAAAGCTGCTTTTTTAAAATCCAAATTTCAGTTTCTGGCAATTAGAGGTGAAGAGATGAGATGATGCTTCTTCAACATTTACGTCATAAAAAATCAGGATAAAGAAACAGAACAATTACCAAAGTAAAGGTAATGTGGTTGTCACGAATAGCAGAGGTGGTATTAGAAGATTCAGCATCGCATCTTGTTTGTATCACCTTGGGTCTCTGTCACCATCTTCTCAAATAAAATACATTTTCATGGCATCAAAAGGAAATCAATGTGACCAATTACATTAGATTTATATAAACATTTGTACATAAAAATGGTGTCTCATGACGAAAGCACACCCATTAGTAGGAGGTGTATTGTTGGATTTTTTGTCAGTAAGGCACGTCTGTGTTTCTCATTGACAGTAGTGTTCATCAAGCTGGGAAAGCAGCAGGGTGGAATAACCTAATTAGTAGCACATGTACAACTGAGGTTCTCTATATAAGCATCAAAAATATCTGGTACCAAAAATAGTGATTATATTTGTATAATATAAATAACAATATAAACAATATAAATAGTATTATATTTGCTTACTGGTATAGAGTTCAAATGTATCTACATATTTCACTTTTTCTTTAACAAAAACAATTTCTATCCTTACTCAGAATCTGCCTTTAAAGGTAGAGAGGAGGATGTTCTTTTTCCAGATTGATAATAAAAAATAAGTGGTTTTCCAAATTGTTATTATAGTGCTACGTTTCTGCGCATGGGCACTTTCAGGTGCATGTGTGGTAAGCTACGGTTTCAGCCAGTAATTGAAGCACGCCAAGGGTCGTAAGAGAAAAATTGTCTACGAAGTGCATGAGAAGAAAAGAAAGGCTTCAGCAGAGAAAAAACAAGTGTTTTTGGGAGATTCTTTAATGCGATGGCGTACACACTGAAAGCACAGGTCGAGGGGTCAAGTTTGGCATGCTATTTGGAGAAATCCATTTTACATTCCTGCTAGTAAAATGAGGAGAAATGCACTTGTGCATTCTCTCGCATGTGTTTAATAGGCATTCCCTCTTAGGAGCGGATACAGGGTTGTGCATGTGCATTTTTTTTAAAGTGGAATTTTCAAAAATTTGCAAAGATCCTCCACAATACCTTTAAGAATAGCTTTTCCTGATATTCCAGCATTTACTACTCTAGTTAATCTTGTAACTTTTCCTCCATGATGGGCTTTGGATAGATTTATGATATTACTACAAACCTAACCGCCGGGAATATACTGGGCTGATTACAGCTCGCGATTTACGAAAACAAAAATAATTCTTGTTGGAATTTTCTGTCTTTCTGTCCAAGTAATTGATATGGGTTGTCTGAGTAGTTTTCATGAGCTCACTTTAAATCAGCATGCAGATGAAACAGAAAGACTTTTCTAATTCTTATGGCTTAACAGCTTTGAGTAAATATTCATTTAATGATGCCCTGCATTACGTTATCTGAGGCAGAGCATTTTTATAGTCAAGACACAGAATAGGAATGTCATCATGAAATAAGAAAAAAAAAAGCCAAGAGAAATAAAAGCTTATTCAACTAAAGTGAGAGCAACACACACACACAAAGAGGCTGACCCTTGAGGTGCAGTTTCTGTGGTAATGTGCTTTAGATTGAGGCTATGTGTGCAGAGATGATGGGCCCAGTAACAGATGGGCAGGAGTCTATTCCCTGGGCTACCAGCCTTCTGCTTACTACATAGCCCTGCCAGCTCTACAGTCCTCATCCATCTTCTGCACCCCCAACCCGATCTCCTTTGACATCCCATTTCATTTCTATTGTTTCTCACAATCCACTCGGTTTGCTCGGCTCACCCACACCTCCTCATCCCTCCATCATAGCTCCTCTCACCTCTTCTTGACCAGCTCCCCCATATTCTCCTCTCCTACTAAATCACTCCTGGCAAGAAAGCCTTGCTTGCCAGAGCAAGGCATAATCAAATGATTTCTCATGTTTAAGCAACCGTCTTGGAAACCACTGTTTCTTTCCTCACCTAGCTACATCAGCTGTGCTGGGCCACTAGCCAGTGGCCAAATCCCCGGCAAACAGCCACATGTTGCAATGCAAACTCACAACTTGGTGGGCCAAATCCTTAGAAAGGTCTCTCTGCAAGGAGACTGTAGACATTAGATTAACACCCTCATTCTGGCCAGGAAGCGGAATGATTACAGCAAGCTGGAATGCTCAAATACCCCTGAGCCAACAGACTAGCTGGCCTTCACTGCGACCAGTTCATGCTTGGTTGCACTCCAAAGGACTATAAAAAGAACAGCTCACTGCAGCCTGATGTGGAAGGTGGGGTGTGGCTTTGTTCCATTGTCGAAGAGCGGTAAGAGGACGCACGTGTCCAACTGAATAAAGGGAGCCTGTCCCTGTGTTCTTACCTCTGATAATGGCCAGCTTTGCAGTGATGGCGATGTCTCCCTGGTTGTTGCGTGCCACACACTCATAGACGTTCTCATCTCGAGGAGCTCTAAGAGGCTGGATCCTCAGCACGGCTCCAGCACCTTCATCAAACTCTATGGTCTGGACAGCCACAGGATTCACAGAGCAGGATATATTAGTCAGAGCAGAGCAAGCATTAAAACTTTAATTTGTATAAAAAGAGACATATTTTCTTCTGATCAGAGAATCCTATTTCTATAGCACTGCTATCCTGATTTTGTTTCAGTAAGTTATCAAGATAAGTTATGTACCAGTAAAATGTGCTTCAGAGCCTGGTTATTAGCTTTCTTAAACACTGATGAATCCAAACCACTTTGAAATTAATCTTTAGAAAACAATTAAGTCACATTCCTGCAATAAACCTAAAATGAGAATCTCCTTGGATGACTCCCTTGTTTGCATCATTTAGCTTTTTACAAATATGTGTGCTTTCAAATTAAAGGTGAATATGATCTTGGGTGAAATTCAAATAGTACTGTGTGAATTTGAATTACCTCTTTCTAATCATTATTTGAAAATAATGTGCAGTTTATTCACACTGTTTGACTGAAGGTAGCTGAGAAAATTGTTATCACTCCCATTAATCTGTCATACTGAAGTAATGGAGTCATAAGTTTACTTTAGCAGCTAGATTACACTGCAGGCCTCATTCTGCTCAAAGTAGAAAGTAATTAATTTATCCGGACCTGTAAAGGTTACCAATTACCACTCTAAAGGTCCATCTTTTTAAAAGAATGCTTCCTGCTTCACAATGACAGAAAAGCCAAAGCAGCTCAGGAATGAAACCTTAAACCTCAGTTAAAATCTGCAAAATTATTTCATTGTTGTGGTGCATTTCGTATCATTCTGTCTGAAATACAGCTTCCTTTTTGAAGAGTTCTTTCTCATGAAGACTGCACATGACTAAGAGCACTAAATGGGTACAAGCCATAGTTGTTTTGTTCGTCTACTTCTGAAAACTGAAAGGAGAGCTGCTCCTAAAAATGGTTCTAGCAGCGCTATATAAATATTTATCTTCAGAGTAGATTAATTTGGATTCTGAAATATAAACATAGTGTGTGATGTCTTTGTAAATTTTCAGTCAGTGTTGAAACATCTTCAGAAAAACTAAGCCAAAGCTCACTTTGCCTCTGATTTAAGCCTGCTTTGTGATATTCAGTGATTGTAATGATACCAGTAGAAGGTTGGGTTAGAAAGCCGTCATACAGCAGAAGGTAGAAATCCTTTTCTGATTTAGTAAGTGAAAATAACAGCATGTTATCAAGATAATAGCATTATAGCAGAAGTTAGTACACTGCAAATTAAGGTATTATAGTTAGATTCCTTTTTATCTTCAACCACTTTGTTTTAGCCCCAATTAAATCAAATTAAGGGACAAATTGAAGCACTATTAAAAGCTTCCATCCCAATCTCTTGTCATGTATATTTGATGATCAGAAAAAGCATTTTCTATTGCTCTACACATGATAAATGAAGCTACTTGTTAGACATTAAGTCCTCTCACAGTTGTATAGAATGCATGTGTTTGCTTATTGTGATATAAGACTGAGTTATGTCTTTATAAGTTCATTGCTGCAGCCCTGGAACAGTTTAAGCTTAAAGTTTGTGGACCTTCTGCTTCAAGTTTAAGTTTATTGGCACTAGTATGGCAGATCTAGTGCCAATAAACTTTCTTTAACATCTGGAAATGCTGGAGAGCAGAATGCAAATTGTGACTGGCATAGGTTGTAATTGCTTTGCTGCCCTGTTGAAAAAAAGACATATCTTTAAATAGATGAAAAAATATGTGTGTGATTGAGCATTGCAATCAACAGCGTTTGAGTGTTAAAAACATCTATCTCTTCTGTTGATTTAGAAACATGCTTCATGCGTGTTTTTAAAGGCGTAGATCCTACCCCGATGTCACGTGTAATTCTTAAGGTTTAAAGGAGAGCCTAAATTTTTTCTTTAATTTGTCACCTTTGCTCTTTGCTTTGCTTGTGGTAGAAAAGAGGACTATTTGCATTAAATATCTAAAACAAAAATAAAGCTGACAGCCACAATCATGCACAGAATCAAATGGAACAAACTGTGTAACTTTGTTAAATATTGGCTTTGAAGTTAAAGATAGCATTGAAAAATTGCAAGACAGTTATGCTCCCTTATATCAAGGTAGGCCAAAGCATCCGTTTGTTAGGAATAAAGCAAAAATTCTATGTAAGAACTTAGACAAGACTGTTAAAAATCCTGGATAAGATATGGCTTTTCTGGCGGCTTTTCAGTTGGGCTTTGTAACTGCAGACCCGACCCTTTACATGCAAAATACATGAGTATCAAGGTAAGATGGAAAAAATATTCCTTAGAATGCTGCCAGATTTTTATTTATTCATTTTCTGCTTCAGTCAGAACTATCTGAGAATCCTAATCAAGTGAAGGAACCAGCTTCATGTTTACTGAATAAACATGAGAGCATCTCTGTGTTTCGCAGCTTGAACTTTTCAATTAGCTTAAGTGCACATGTAGCATATAAAGCTGCAAAATACTAAGCAGAACTTTTTAGAGTGCATTATATATTCTGCAAACATGTTACTCATGTAAAATCCCAATTAAAAACAAATTTTAAATATTGTAAAAATTGCAGAGTATTGAAATAAAAATATAGCTACAGGAGAAACAAGTCTGTAGATATTTTTAATATTGTCTAATATTACATACCCTGAAATTTCAAAAAGTACAGAGTCGACTCTCCACATTAGTGATTTGTTCATCCCAATCTCCTTCATTGCAAAAAAATCCATCACCAATGTGTGCAGCTTCCCCAGATGGTCCTTAAACAATGATTCATTCTCAGGATTTCAGTGAATTAAAGGATGATATCATCAAGACTGCAACCTACGTCCAGTCAGAACATTTCCTAGTTGCTAAATATTCCACTTTCAGTTGTTGGCAGTTTTATAATCAAGTTTCACATATTAGATGCATCAAGCCCAGTAAACATGGTAAGAAAGAACAAGCAAGCCCACTGAGAACCATTGCCATCTTGACTAGAATGAGGACTGTTCAAAGCTGTCTATAGTTGAAATAAATGTTTTGATTTGCATTATATGGCAAATGTACCTTACTGTGGTAAACAGTACAGTAATTTATTTTTTTTTAGAACTTGGTGCTTAGCAACTTTTAGCGGGTTTGTTAAAAATGTAACTGGGTTTGGGTTATGGATCAAAAGTGGTTCCAAGATTTTGAATCCCTGCCCTTTTTTCTATTAAGCTCCTCAGAGCAACACAGAGAATAGAATCATAGCCCTTCCTTTAAACTCTGGAAAAGCAAATAAAAACTACTAGATATATTGTAAATAATATTTTGAATAATAATTCCTTAGATATAAAAATAAAATAGTGTAGCATTTTTTGTTTTTTTGTTTGTCAATTAGATTTTTTTTGTCTTGTCTATTTACTTTTTATCCCTATATAATTATATAGACCCTAATAATACCCCAAACAAATTCTTCTTAAAAATAGAAGCCAAAGTGTACTTATCCTTGACTAATCTAAATTAAATTCCGAAAACTATTCAGGAATCTCCACATTTATCCTAAGAACAATAATAATAATAATAAAAAAAATCAGTTTGAAGAAAATAATTTTTTATTATTATTTATTTGCTTTATAACCCTGCTATTTGTTTCAGGTAGGTTATTCGAGGTACAAATATTTATACATAAATACTCTTTATTCACAGAAATACTGTAGATATTAAGCAGTGATGTGGGCTGACATTGTGCATTGTGACAACCACCTCGATACGCTGGGAGTTGACCTTCTTGCCCTTCTTGTTCCAGTAGACGACTGGCTTGGGGTTGCCAGTGGCCTGGCACACAAATGATGCCACACCCCCTGACACTCCAATCTGGTCTGTGGGAATTTTGGTGAACCTCGGTGGAGCTGAAAGAAAGGGAAGAGACAGAGGTGAGAGAGGGAAAAAAGAAAGACAAGAGAAAAATGCAAGTATGAAATCCACATCTTAATATTTAGATAATATCAAATCAACTGCTAAAACCAGGAGTAGGAACCCCTCCTCCTCCTGCAGAGCCCCGCCCCATCTCCCTTTCAGGGACTGGTCAGACTGAACTGTGTCCTGACGGCTGCGCCATTGTGCTTACTTCCTGGGTATCATCTAGAGGACAAGCTGAAGGACTTCCTGTGGGTCATAAATAAAAGATGGGGCTGGGCTTCAGAGGAACATCTCTCTCTCTTTACAAACCCGTTACCCCCCCTTTCTCTCCGGCAGGGCAACACAGAGCTGTATGCAGCACAGGCTGTCATCCCACATGAGTGTTTCACAGGTAGGAGAAGTGTTGGCTGAAGATTCACAGCATGTAATTGGTTTAAATGTATAAATACCAGAGGCGTGATTTTTGTTCCTGCAGAATGCCACTCACCTATGGGAGGATTTGGAAATGTGGAGTATTCTGATCCTAAATATCCCACCAACACTTCTGTATTTACTTCCTGCTTGACGGATCAATTCAGCAGGACGTTTTCTGGGATTACATAGGAATGTGCTATTTTTTAAGGTATTGCAGTTGCCCTCTGCAAGAAAACAGCAATTTCCAAGTGTGATATTGAACCAACAGTACTAAACCTACACTTTTCGCAGCAGCTGAGTCAGACTGGTAAAACAACCTCACGCATCCACCCCTAGCTATCTGTATGTGGCCTGTTGCCATGGTGCCCAGCTTAACTCCTCTTCAGCTGCCGAATCGTTGCTATCCATCAGGGCGAAGTCAGGATGACCCTTGCCATAGCAACCTGAATCCCTCCTCCCCTGCGTCTAGGTGGGCGAGGTCATGCTGTGCTGATTGAAGACACAGCAGCCATGAAAACACAAATAATATTAAAAATAAAATTAACACTCTTCTATCAAACAACAGGAAGATAGTGGGTCTAATTCTTTTCCCACTCATTTCTCTTTTAAATGGACAGACAAAACACTTTGAAGTTTTCTCTACAAAGCCTCGACGAGAGACGGAAAAACATCATGACAAAAAAACCTTCTCCTTTGCTTGCTGCATCCTGTGTTTGGCATGTCAGATATAATGCGGTTTCATTTTATGCTTGCCATAATCCTGAGCAGTAAGGAGCATAAAGCACATAGTGAGTAATCTGACTGAACAAATTTATCCTCGACGTATTTAGACGCAGGAACAGGATATTTTCTGCCTATTAGACCCTCAGACATAAACACAACTGAATGCAAGTTGCACCATTTCCCTGCCAATAATAAAGCAGGGGGTAATGGCAGAAAGAGCCTTCCTCCTATTGGATTATGAATTATTTCCATGTTAGTCTCAGGGTTTGAACACGCTCGTATGTTGCTCGTATGTTTGGTTTTGTGTTGAGTCCAAAATATTTTCTATGTTCTCTTAAACGCACTTTAGCACCAATCCTTGTGCAAAACTGATCCCACTGGCACAACTTAAGCCTCTTCTGACAGCCGGGGAAAAGCCCTACAAAGCAGAGGCTCTGAATGGATTTGCACTTAACAGAAACTTGTTATGATCTCGATGTTCCTGGGAAATAAAGGCCTAATAAGGACCTCTGTCTTTTTTAATAAAAGGTTTCACTCCACTGCCAAGATCTACTGCTGACGGCCAACTGGTTAGATGTTAATGGAACACCTTTGTGACTTGTAATCACTCTGGTGAGTGACTGACAACTGCTGAGCTCAGACATAACAGGGTACAATGTCTTAGTGTTTCTGACACGCCAAGTGACAAAAACGTAATTGGAACTTGGAAATTCTCCTCAGGTCGGCCTATAATCAGTCGATGTACTGTAGTTTTTCTTACAGAAATGTTCAGTTAGATAATATCTTCCGGTCAAATGTTTAATTTTGTTCTACCTTAAATGACAGTACTTAAGGCAAATGTATTAAGAGCAGCCAGCTTTGGTCTCACAAGCCTTTAAGCTAGTTTTAATAATGTATCCTCTCCTAGTTGTGCCTCTCTCCTGTCAAACTTGTTTTCATCTCCTGCTCAAAATGACAAAAAAGAGGAAAAATAAATCATGTGGTATAAAGATAATAAAGGCAACTGAAGTGTGGCAATTTATGAGAAATACAATTTTTACAAGGATAATTTGGTATGAGGAAGTTAAATTTAGAGATACTATAAATAAAATAACCATGCATTTTTGCAGACTGGGTTGGATTAAATTCAAAGCAGTAATCGGAAATAGTTAATTGAGATGACTGATAATATGCCTAATGTTGACAAAAATGTTAATTAAGTCTCCATATTAAGGGATATCAAGAGATTGGAAACAAAGACTTTTATCAGGAGCATAAAGATTAATCTGATTGAATACCTCAGTGGGCTTAGATCAAGCAACGTGAAATCAAAGGGGAATTATATTGCAAAATCCATTTTTTTAGCTTACAGTTTTGTTTTTGTACTTCAAGTCTAACTTCTCAGAAATATTTAATTTAGTCTCATTGGCTCCTGTTTTGGATACATATTTAGATGCTGCTCAGTTTTCTCCTTTTTTCCAGTACGTTTTGTTTAATGTGGCAGTATTTGTTGTGGAACTGCTGAAGATTTTTTGGTTTATAATTCACTATTTTCATATTTTTGGTCTAGGTTGATTTGGTTTCTGGGTTTATTAACCAAAACTATTGCTGTAGTTTTGGAGCTCTGTATTTCCTGATTACATTTCATTTTTCATAGAAACTTGCATACATCAGTGGGATAAGTCCTCTTTGTTTATGTCAAGAACCTGAGGAGAGGAGTGCTTTAGCAACCTCGGCCAGTATAAAGAAGGAGTAGCTGAAATACTTTGTTTATTTGAGGACTCCGTTTTTTCTATCTATTAAAAGACTGGTAAAAGGGCAACAAGCTCTATTATAGGTGCATTAATATAACTAATTGCTCCGATAGTACAGCATTGTGCCTTTAGCTTTTGTTTGTTTTGTGACACCATTTTAGCTCCCTAAGGACCTTAATGTGTGTTCTGAATAAAGATATTACACAAACCAGTTTGAAATCTGTTGGGATGCCATTTTTGTCTTGGTGAGCACAGGCTCCGAATACAATCAGTGATGTTCTTGGTGGTAGCATTAGATAACTTGTTAATTAAGTTGGGGTACAAGTATATAACACTTGTTCAACATTACAAAATTTTTATTTTCACCGTGTACCTACTGTTTGTTAATTTTTTTTTTTTTTTGTGACGCTTGGCTCAGAATGCATGTTTATAAAACATAGACATGATTAATAATAGTGTTGCACCGATACCGATACCAGTATCGGACGGGGCCCCGATACTGCCCTAAAATGGTGGTATCGGTATTGGCGAGTACCAACAAATAGGGCACCGATACCATTTTGAGAGCCATAAGTTTATTTAACTATTGTCACCCACTCCTGGTAGGCAATAAAAAGTTCTACTGAGCCATGATGTAGTATTCAGTTCTTCATATATACACACACACACACATCAGTTTCAAACAGATGGTATCGGTATGAGCCAATACTGCACAGTTATGTATCAGGTATCGGTATCGGGGCCAAAAAATGGCATTGGCGCAACACTAATTAATAATAATAATAATAATAATAATAATTTTACTTTATTGATCTCACATCGGAGAAATGTACCTCTGATTTAAACCATCCCCTTGGGGAGCAGTGGGCTGCCATCGTGGGGCGCCAAGGGAGCAGTGTAGGGTTAAGGGTCTTGCTCAGAGACCCAGAGTGGCAGTCTGTGGGAGTGGGGCTCAAACTCAGAACCTCAGGATTTCAAGCTCTATGCCCTAACCACTAGGCCACCACTATTAGAAATTACATTAGAAACACATTAGGAACAACTAAGCACCCTTACAAGTCTTTAGAAAGACCCTTGACTTTTATATTCAACTGATCATTCTGGGAGAACAAAAAAAATGATTTACTGCTCTGTTTTTATTAAACAACATAAGTTACTACTCACAAATTGATATAAGCTCAGTTATTTATTATCTTCGAGCAGCAAGTCAGCAGTAAGCTGTTTAACAAGTATGGCAAATGCAGCTTGCAATCGGTTTTTTCAGCAGTATGTTAGTTAGATTAATGGGTCATAGTCCTATAGTTCCCATGCCATGATTGTCAGTATCTTTTGCATTCTTTTTTAAGGTAAAAGTAAAGAAGCAAGCAGTGCACAGCAGCAGGTTTTAGTGTAGGCAAACCCTCCCACTTTCTGGCACTTAAAAGACTGTCATTTAAAGGTCTTTGAAAAGGTGTGATATTGTTTTAGCTATTTTGAAAACCTACCAAGGTTAAACCTTGGTATTCGGATATTGATACCAGAACTCTCCTGTGGCTTCCTTAAAATGATTCAGGTTTAAACCTTTAATATATACACAAGTCAAACTTAGACTGAATTATTTTCATAAAACAATGTATTTTGTGAAACTTTTTATGTATTTTTAGAAAAAAAATTGTATTTCTTGATCTCATGAATTAATTATTATGTACTGTCTCATTTAGAGAGCTGGATGTATCATTACGCCCCAGCTAGTATCCCATGTTGGTTAGACAGGAGGAGAAATCAGGGAAAAAAGCAGTTTTTCCAATTTCAAATGTCGTTAGGGTTTAGCTCCATCTTTAGCCCTATATCTTATCTCTCATCAAAAAAAATATTCAGCTTGGTGGCATTTTCAGAGAAGTGATAGCCAAGTCTGGCTGAAAAACTGTTCGTGTGCATGTGTGTGGGGTATGTGTGTGTCAACCACTGATGCAGGAAATGTGTTGAGATGTTGTAATCAAGAAGATGATGAGAAACATGCTGATGGGACCTCCCGCCTTATCAAAACACATTAACAATGCCACAGTTCAGAGCTGATTTACTGACAGGCCGGGATTCTCTTCTCAAATGACACCCACAGAGCATGCACATGTACTTACACTTTTATGTAAAAGCATGTTTTTGTACATCTCACTTATTGTTTGACTTTTATATGCTGGAATGAAAAGGGAAAAATGGAAAAAAGAGGAAAGTATAGTAGATCACTCTTCATACCTAGTGCTTGACACACGCTGTTCCAAGGCCTGGTAAGGAGGATAATCAAAGGCAGCAGCAGACACAAGGGAGAAGGACAAAGGCAGTAGCCAAGGATGGGTCGCCTGGACTGGGCCAAAGCTCTGTCTGGCTTACATGAAGGCATGGCACCGTCACTGAGTTGGTTGACGACTAATATGCAGGTACGGCTTTACTCATCAGGGGTAGGCACTCTGCAAACAGAAAAAGACGATGGTCAAGAACATTTCTGTGGTATTTAATTCACTGCTCTTAATTTCAGGGCTGAATATCTTCAACCTTAATGCATGATGAGGTTAGTGTACAAGAAATATTTATTCTGCAAGAGTTATCAGTATGAACATCAAAGGAAATTTTATGCAAATGTGGGATTAGGTTTTTTGATTTAAGCCTTGGCACTTCTGACCTCTGAGATTAGAAGCTCAACCAGGCCGTCTGATGGAACTAATGCCAGAACAATAAAGCCACCACTCAATAGCTATGGCAAGAAATTGAACAAAACAGTTTTCAGCATACTGCCTCTGTATTAATAAGTCTCCTTCTCTAGTGAGCCATGAAATGAGCTGCAATGATACAGATTTAAGCATCCTTTTTCCCCCTTTAGACACCCTAATAATTTCATTTTGGCTTCTGCTTAATTCCCTCTCAGCGTTCAGTATTTCAGCGTTCTGCCGGCACACACAAGTGTTAATGCAGTAATTTATCAAGAGTATGTGACAGTAATGGAAAACATTTAAACAATAAGGGTTTGGAGGTCAGTAGGAATGCAACAAAATTCAATTGAAAGTGAATGAAATACTGCTGCTTAATACATCTGCAACCCCTCCTGATAATCCAAAGTCTTTGGGGGCGTTAGCATTGGTATTTTACTCTCCACGCTCACGTAACACATCTACACAGAGCCACACACATCTGGAAGCCCCAACATAAATCAGCTCTGTCTGCTCACAGAGATTTGGACAAGCTGTGCCGAAGCTCGGCATCAGCGAGTCAATAACTCCTCAGTCTTATCGAGCTCTCCGGTCCCCCACCCCTCATCAAAAGATGTGTCAGAGCGCAGGTGGGGAGGCCAAATGTGAAAGGGGCCGTTGTTGACCTGTCATACATCACATGCATATATTCTTGCTTTCAAATAGCAATACAAGATAACATATATGCCCCTAGGGAGAAATAATGCAGGTGACAGGTCAGGCTGTGATCCCCATATAAACAGATATACATTAAAAACTGGCTTGTAACAGGGATCAGATTATTTTAATCTTGCTTGGCCTTGGCCAGTGGAACTTAAAAAGCAATTTTTCCAAACCATGTAACACATGCTACTGGGTCACGCAATGGACAGCGCCCTTTGGTTGTAGGAAGTCGTTCTTTAGGGGATTTATAGCATTACAAACGTGTAAAAAAAAAATGAAATCAGAGAAGGCAAATACATGTAAGGATCTACGTAGAACTGTATTCTTCACAATATTTTAAGACTTGTTTAAGCTTCACTCAGACCACAAAAACTGTGACACTTTCAGAAGATAACAGGAAGGCCAGAGTACAGCACAGTCACTCCTTTTTATCCCTTTGCTCCAATGGCATAACGACACAACAATAGGCCCAGTAAGCAACATTATCAGGGTGGGCCCCATATGAAGTACAACACGTGATAAAGGTTCAGGATACGCTGACAGTTCCATAAATCGTCCAAGAAGATACAATAATGCAATTCTCAGTAGTATATGATCACACATCACAACTGAAAAAATAGTGACTGCGCACCTAGAATGGAACCATTGCTGACAGCGACCCACCACATGTTATAGACATCTCAAGTTCCAAAAACTCTTTTCAGGGAGATGCTAATCCATCCTCCCCTCACCAATGTTCTCTCCATTCATCTCCTGGTCGCAATCTTTACTCACTGTAGCAGCAACGTCCACCTTTCCCTCTTTGGTTCTTTAAAAAAAAAACCGTTTTTTTTGGGAAGTTTTTTCCATTCTTCCAGCAGTTCTTCTTTCCGCTTAAGTACCTGATTTTGGTATCCATCGTGGCTAACACATTGTATGTAACGGTTATGGTTTCAATCTACACTCTGGGTAACCAATAATTCCAAGTCTAAATGTAAAAATTAAAATACTCAAATACATCGTTCTTTTAAGATATTTATTTGCGGTTTGAAACATATTATATGAGCATATTTTTAACCAACCGTCTAATGAACTATACACAGTTATCAATATAGCAACTAAAAGTACCACCGTCTGCTTTGCTATTGGTGACGTGTTTAAACGGCTCACCATCATGTTGAAATCTGGCATGTGTTACGGTATAGATATGGTCCGATGCGGTCAGTCACTTCAGTATCAGGTGTGTTTAAGATGAATTTTTCACACCATTACATCTGCATAGAGACGTCCTACTCTAGAATTGCGTAGGGGACCCACCAGGTGTCAGTGATGGGGCCCCTAAGAAGTCGTGGGCCCGTAAGCAGCTGCTGTCTCTGCTTACCAATATATATGCCATTGCTTTGCTCCATCAAACAACAGAGGCAGAGAAAGTAATGGCTTCTTTGGAACTAAGTGGCTTTTCAGCCTGGTTCACTAAGAACTCATTTGACTGTGGATAAAATTATCAACCTACACGTTTCAGAACTTGTTCACGCTCTAGATATTGGAAACCTTATCAAAACACTTATTTTGCACTTACTTTGTCCTCGAGTCGGGATTCAAACCAGGGACAGCTGAGTCGAAAAACTGTGGTACATGGATCTCATGTTCTACTGCTGCACCATAGACAGCCCCTTTTTAAAATTCAGAATGTCTGTTCTTATGTCATTATGTCTTGTATCGAGCGAGTATGAACTAAATAAGTACCTCCTGATCAAAGATTGGCAAAATATTTCTAAACGATGCATTTTAAAATAAATACGTGCAACATTAAGGGCTGCTTTGTCAATGACTTTCCCCACATACTGATAGAAACAGAAGAGCAGCAGTGGCTGCTTTGCTTTATGAAAAACAGGGCCTCTATAATCAAAGATTCCTCCAACCTCTTATTGGGCTAATGACCTGCTCAAACATATTACTGTCTGCCTTCTCCGAAACTAAAAATAGCTTAGCTGAAAATACGTCTATCTGATACAGGCTCTTATTCTTGCCACTCTTCCCTCGCCTTATCTAACACCGGGTAATAGCAGCTGAATAGAAAAGCTTTCTCCCTCTCAATTGAGCATGATAAGAAAAATCAGATCACAGCTCATTCAGCCGCCATTGGCAGCATGTTAAGTAAATTCTCTGCTTACAGAAACTCAATTTTCCCTGCATTAATCTAAGCAGGGTCACTGTTCTGCACACAGCCACATGGCCACTGAAACATTAGGTGCACCCTGTGTGTTCCGGTGCTTGTCTGGTTCATCTCGTTTGCTGGGTTTGCCGCATCCTTAATGTCTTTCCCTGACCCATTTCTGATCCACAGGATCGTTTTCAGTTTATCCACTCCTCCTTGTTGACTTTCACCTGCTGGCAAACCCTCTTTGCTATCTCTCCTCTTTAGTCACATATCCTTCAAAGTAATCCCCAACATCTTCCTCCTACATGGCACTCTGGCATTAGACTCTATGTTCCTGAAATCTCCTCTTCCCCTAGTTTCTTTCATCCCTTTTCACTTCCCGCCCATCCACTTCCTCCTCGCCCTCCTTGTTAACCTCTCCTCTCTTGATGCCGTCTTCCTCTGCAATACCCTATCATTCATTTCTTTTGCTTTTTTTATAGACAGTCTAATCCACACTCGTATGAAAATCCTCTTCCTCTCCCCAGCTGTCCTGCACCGGCTGCTCCAGCTGCTGTTAGTCCATTGACACATTTAAAACAAAAGGACTTACACCATCCTACAGCTGTGGATGATGAGAGAAGATGCCAAAACAGACTCGCAGATGCAGCAGCAGAGCAGACCAGTCTGGGCATGTCTCCACAGCATTAATGGCATTAAACACTGCGAGCGCAGCAGGCTCATCCTCTCAGGACACAAATATAAAGAACAATAACTCACTTGGCTTGCTTGCATAAGCAGAGTTAAAGTGAGTAAGCATTGAGAACATGGAAATCCTCATGACTCAGGTCTACTGGAATCTTTGCAGCCAACAGCCCCCCAACATACTACAAACTGCTCCCTGTGATCATCTGGCTCAGCATCCAGAGAGCAGACAGTGGGGGTTGGTCTTATTACCTTTTTCAGTGTAGCAACACAGATGGTCAGCCTGACAGATAGATTGATGGGGGATACATGCTGCTGTTTATTGCGGGGAAGTAGATAATGACACCCCAGCTCAGGTGGTGCAACGTACACCGCTTATTGTGCTCCATCAGGCTGATGAAATAACATTGTTTAGGTGGCATCCAAGCTGCCCCTGCTCCACTGGGGCCCTACTCGGAAGATAACATGTTTTGTTTTTCCCTTCACCTTGTCCCCACCCAGCGCTTCAACCCCCAACCTTACCCACTGATGCCTCTCACCACAAGTGGGATGATCTCACAAGGCATGTCGCCATGACGACAAGCAATGAGCGCTCAGAGAAAGATCAGATCTGTATCTTACGGCACCCTGCTATTTGTGAGAAAGTACCATTGATAATTGTACCTTTTGTTCCTATGAATTATTTTAG